ACATGCATGGTTTCCACCTTGAAGCATGGACCTGTGATGGTGTAGGGGTGCTTTGCTGGTGACCTGTTGGGAATTTATTCAAAATTGAAGGCATATTGAAGGCATACTATGGTTACCACAGCATCCTGCGGTCACATCCAGTTTGTGTTTAGTTGGACCAGCTCGTGCTCATATCATCATCTGGCTGTTTGGGTTTTCTTTATTTGCTCTGTCTTACTGTACGGTCTTTACTTTACAGTATAAAGCTACCAGAGACAACTGTTCTTGTACTATGACACTATATAAATAAAACTGAATAGAATAAAAAATGGCTGTGACAGTTATTGAGTGCTGCGAGAAAGCAAAATACAGAGTTTCAGCTCTAAAATTCTTGAGTCAAATGCAGATGTTATGTGTGAAACTGCATCTCACACGAAGAAATAACTGCCTGCTTTGTTACACAGCCCGCAGCAGATCAAACGTGCCATTGTTCTGCTGCTTGTCTTGGTTACATTGTCGTCTATAAGATGATAAAATAACACAACGAGTAAAATGCAAGCCCCGACTGTAAAACCAGCAAAGGCAATTTTACATGCACACTGCTACATGTTACAAATCAGTTTGGGAGTGTTTACTGTCTCATTTCTTTACAAAGAAAAGCCCTTTTTGCCCACTGAATAATTTAGACTGGAAAATTTAATGAGCTGGAATCAAACTGATGCATGTGTGTGTGTGTCTTTGTGTATGTCTGCTTGTGTGTGTGTGTGTAGGTGCACATTTGAAGCTAATGTACAATGAGACCCAAATGAATTATAAATCCATCCAAATTGATTTGGATCTGTTTTAGAAGCCCAGTCTCCATTCAGAGTCTTACTTTAAATGAGCAAGCAACATTAAGACATAAACACACACACAGCATGAAGCAACACACTCCTTTGAATAATTCAAAGTTCTGTCGTTGTTCTTATGATGGCTATACTTTATCTTTCTCTCACACAGACCGAGTCCTGTTTGTGTTTCCGCAGCCTCATCTCTCCTCTGTCCCTCTTCCATTTTTTTTTATTCTGCTCTCACACATCCCTTGTCTCTCTCATCTCGTCTCTCCTCTCATCCCCTATCTTCATCTACTCCTGCACTCCCCCTCCTTTCGTCTGTCCTCTCCTAACCCCAGCAGCCAGCAGGTCTACAGAGTAGTGCTCTCTGTGTGCCAGCAGCAATTCCTGGAGGGCAGTCAGGCAAACAAACCCAGGCAGTGCCCACTGCATGACTCACAGAGATACAGAGACAGAGCGAGAGGCAAGGGGTAGAATCATTAAGATGAGAGAGCAAAAAGATATGAAGCTGTTAAGAGGCGATGAGAGGGAACAGAAGGAGATTGGGGGTAAAAAAAAAAGTGTTGAGAGTGCAAAAGGCGGTAAGGGAGATTAAGAGTGGGAGAGGAAAGACACGTAGAGAGAGTGGGAGATGGGGGCAAATGGAGGGCAACCTGCGCGATCTCGCATGCACATGAGAAGAGCGGGCACGCAGCTCAGCGAGGAGGCTCGAAGAGAGCGCGTAAAAGAAGTCCTTCTCCTCCTCCCCCCACCTCTCTCTCTCCACGTCCCCTCCTTTCACTCAGTCTCTCCAATTGATCTCTCTTCTGCCAAAAAGTGAAGCCCAGCACGACAGTCTTACATGAGCTGCCTGAACCCAAGCGCAGGGCCGAGACAGAAGGATGCACTTAGAGAGAGACAAAGCAGATGAAAGTTAAAGGTGGCTGCTGATAGATGAGGATAGCCACATCAGGATAGCTGGGACGCTTGCAGATAGCCTGTCAATTACTCAATTACTACAAATGTTACTGACAGATAGATGGGAGCCTATCCCAGCTGTCACACGACGAGAGGCAGGGTGCATCCTGGACAGGTTGCCAATCTGGCACCAATTAACCTAACTCCACACAGAAAGGGCCTGGGAGGATGCTGGATTCAAACCCAGGACTTCTGATACAACAGTGCTGACCTCTGCACCACCGTCCTGCCCCATATTACCCAGAGACCGTATCTAGATCCTGACTGGCAAAATACCAGCACTGATTGTGTTTGCTATATGTTGAAACACACACTTTCAAACACTCTTCAGGTTTAATGTGCTGAACAGAAAGACACTGGATATATATACAGTATAAATGTCCAACAATGGCCTAAATGGTAGCACTGGAAACAAATACAACTCACAAACAAGTCCGAAACACCAACAGATGAGATAAATAGATATGGAGAGATATTCTGTGAGCGATTTCTAGGATTTTGGGATTGATCCTCGCCTCTGCCAACCTCCTTCTGGACTGCATTAGACATGGTGCTTAGATAATACACTTGTGGGGATGAGGGGAAGGAGATCCAGAGAAGGTGGAGACAGAGAGACCTGAGCATAGGAGATTTTTGTTTTCTGAGTTAATTACCACTGCACCAACAGAATCCACCATTGAGGACACTGAAAACTCTGACTTACTTTATTATAAACCGCCTCTGCAGTTTATAATAAATGATTTACAACTACACAATTAAATGTTCATCTATAATTTAATGATAGTGGCCAATTAAATTTTTCACCTGGAGTTCATACACTCTGTCGGTTAAACTTTAATGCAGACTTCTGACCAGTTGCATAATAGAAAACACTTGGCAGTCTGCTTCAGCTACAATCTCAAGTAGACGTGCCCTTAAGGAGGACTAATTATGTTCATTTCCAGCTCCATATTTTTATTTGCTAGATTAGCTGTGGTTCCAAGTTCAAAACAAACCTTATTGATCTTATAGGGCACCTTTGTGCAGAGCCTTTGCTACTTGTCTGACTGAAGCAAGCTGTTCCAGCTCCTCCTCTTTTGTGATCGGCTGCCCCTCATTGGCAGGCTTGAAAAGCAAATAGATGTGGATGCTGTGGACCAGATGAAGATAACTACATTCATATTTTATCGAGCCGACAGTAGAAAAATAATGGTCTGAAACTAAACAGTTAGCTTGTGGCTCACAGGGATTACTTCAAATTGTTGCCATGTTTAAAAGCGCATCCACCAGCGTACAACTGTATAAATATAACAGAATAAAAGCTGCACAGGCCATGTTGTATCTTTAGAAGATAAAACAAATGCTTTTGTCTCAATACATCAAGCCAGTGTTTCTCCGTGGCAGTTAGAAGGATTATTGTTGACTTCACTGAGCTGAAAAGAAGCTGAAGCATCGTGGATATAAAGCAATGCATTCTGACTTAAGATACAGCGCACTATTAATGAGCCACACTTTGTTTACTGGATTTTAGTGTATTTATAGTAAATCCAGCAACTGCACTTGACTGTCTTTGTATCTTATTTTCTTTTCTTTAGACTTTAGAATAGATGCGAGTTTGCTGAAAGTGTCAGCAGTCGTCTTCTGAGCTGAACTGATCGAGCGATGTTCCCATTGCTCCCAGAAGAGCAGTTTAGACATTTTTAGAAGAATGTTGAGTTAGGTGTAACTTCGCAAAGAACCAGTTTTAAATGATATCTTGAGACACTTTGTTACTAGCAGCTGTCACACAAACATCATTTCTCCCCCATTTCTTTAGTTGAATCTATGAAAAACGCCAAAGTTTGACAGGAATTATATTGACAGGAATAAAGTAAAGTATTCTTGCACCAAAAAGCTATTAGCTGAAAACTTGGCACCAGCTACAGGAAATGAGCAGAATCTGAATGTCACATCAAACAAAGACCCGACACAGGTCCTGTGCGATGCATCTGGCCCTTCAGATGATCCATCTACTGTTCATTGAAGCCTCATCAGAAATGATCTCAGTGGAAGGACAGCTGTCAAGAAGCCCTTCTTAAGGAAGGGAAACTGAATTAAAAAGCTGAGGTTTCTCAATTTACACAAGAACTGGACTGAAAATCAGTAGCAAAAGATGTGATGCAATGATGCCTTTAAATGTGAAACTTTGGGATTTTATCCTCAGTATGTAGGGCGGAGGTCAGGGCAGCGATAGAGCCATCTGTAAAACACGGTGGAGGCTCTGTCATGGTTTGGGGCTACATTTCTGTCAGGGGTGTTGGAGCGCTTGTTAAAACTGATGTTTTGAATTATACAGATTTTGTTATATACAGAAATATCCAATAAAAACACCATTAGCACAAGTTACTAATGAATGATGCGATTTGAATAAAGCACAGGTTGACCAGTCAGTCATTTTCTCTTTTAGATTCTTTTATTTAACCAATGTTACATTAAACTAACATAAATAAACATTTTTATGAACAAAAGGCACACAGTTCAAATATAAACAAAGAACGCCTGTACACCTTGTCTCAAAAACAAAAAGAAATTCTACCGTCTCTGAGCGACAGAGCAATCCGAGAGAGATGAGTTTCAAGGGGGTTTGTTGACAGAACGCTACAGCGCTGCCGCCGTTGCAGCAGCATTATGTCTCAGCATGACGTACACGCCTCAGCCCCTCAAAGGAGCCTAAGCGGTGGGCACAACAGCTAAAACGGCATCCGGGAGCAGCACTAGCTTCACGTGAATCCTCTGCCATGAGGTTAACAGTATGTGGAAAGTCCCTCTGAAACTCACATCCACCTCTGGTAAGAAGAGGCCACAAAATAAATGTCTGTTAAACTTAAAAGATTCATACACGCAGCACATATACTTGAAAATGGGCCGGAGGCTGGGTAAACACTTTAACAGGAGGGTCAGGGTTTCCAACAGCTTCTCTGTGGAAGCCTCTGATTGGTCTGTTGCAGCTTCCTCAAAATAATAATGTGGCCAGGTGGTCATTCACAGTACTGAGAGGACGCCAACTGTCTACTACAGCGTTTGTCCAGTGGGAACCACGATCATGTACAAGTCAAAATTACCCAATTAAATTTATTTATTTATATAAGCGCAGGTTCAGAACAACAGTCATCCCAAAGGCGCTTTATAATGTAAGGTAAGGACCCCACAGTATTACAGAGAGAAACCCAACAGGCTCTCGTCAGCAAGCACTTGGCAACAGCGGGGTGGAAGAACTCCCTTTTAACAGGAAGGGACCTCCATCAGAAGCAGGCTCAAGGAGGGGCAGCCAGGCTAGGCTAAGTGTGGGGGTGCGGGGCTAGATTGGGTTTTACCTGCATCTGCTCCAAATAAGTACATTTCCTCTTTTTCCAAAGTGACGATAATCACTTGTCCACAGCAGACAAAGTGTGCTATACGAGTCCACTCAAGTCTGTTGCAGCTGTTTTCAGTTGTCATCCACCTCTGAACAGTAGATTAAAACAGGTGTGTCCTTTGCTAGTCCAGTTTCGTCCAGATGAATCCGGTCTGTTATTCCTTGATGCAGTCCAGGCTAGGTGGATCCAGCTGACTACAGACCGGGAACACCGAGTATTTGCAAACATTTTTTAGTCTGTTTCGACTGGTTTCACCTTCAGTTGGATTAAATTTAGTGTAACAAACCGATTACAATAGAGTCTGTTAAACCAAAGTGGACATATACTTTCTTTTTAATTGGTCTTAATTGTTACTTTAAAGTGGCTGTAGATGAGTAGATCCATTCATCTACAACCTGAACAGACTCTGCACATTAAGTGTTTGCAAATACAGACACCGCGTTGCAATCTTGGCTCAGACAGCGACTGTACTGGGCACCTCCTCATAGTGAATGATGAAGTAAGGGTAGCTCTGGTCATCATTGAAGATGACAAAGATCTGGGGGTCCATCCAGTTGTCCACGCAGGAGTCATAGAGGTCGCTAGAGGCGTCACGAGGGTTGATAGGTGGAGGCCGTCGCATAGAGGGATTTCCTACAGTATACCTGTGTGAAAACAAAGAGGAAAACAGAAAAGCTCAGTTAAGGAGCTGGGACTCTGGAGATACAAGATAATAATTTACCACACAGAAATCTAAATTTCAAGATTACAAGACTGCCGTATCTTTCGCCACACTTCATATAATATAGCATGTAGCGACTGTATGAAATGAAACTGTGCACTGTAGGCGGGTTGTTTTTCCTCGCTTAAATATTCATGTCAATCCCCAAAGACCCGTCATCCATCAGTCTCTGTGCTGCTTATTCGGGGATCATAAATAAGACAAAGGCAGCAGGTAGAGACGTGGAGTCTGTGTTGCTGTTCGGGTCTGACGCTTATGCCGTGGAACAGATTGGACCCAGGTTTACAGACAGAGTGTTGTTCCTAAACCGCCACACAATCCCCTGGGTGCACCACACACTCTCTGCTGCAGCAAAACAAAGCCGGCAACGTACGATGGGCACAGCCAAATCAGCTGTTTTACATGTGTGGCTCTACATTTGACTTGCATTTTAAAAGGAATTTGTGTAGCATGACGATAGTATGACATGAAAGATGGTTTATGGAAAAGAACCTCCGGTTTCTCACGATCCAGATTGATGCCGATGTGTTCTGTAAATCCAAATGTAGAAGTACTCGAGCGTTTGCGAGAGACGGGGGTCAAAAAGGAAAAGTTGTTTATGCAGAGCCGTGCACTGGAGGGAACATACTTGTCAAACACTGCAAACGGTTCATTAGGGACGCTAAACCGCGCAAGCCAGCGATAAACCCAGGACACATAAGGCCTTGATTTAGCATTTACCAAACTATGTTCTTTCCGACCTCCTCTAAACCAAAGCAGATTTACATCTAGCTAAGATGTAAACGGGGAACAATTAAACAAAGCAAAGCACTGTGAGTGGTATAAGTGGGGGCCATTGCTTTAGAGGCACACAAATCACACGATTAAGCCAATATATTCCCAGCAATTTAACCTAAATGACATGTTATTTTTCCCCCTCCAGATAAATAAAACTCCACCCATAACTGGAGATGTTTTCTTATCAGTGTCCACACAAGCATGCACGCACACACCTACCTTCCAGTGAGGACTTTGGCCAGGAACATGCAGTGGACTCCTTTCGGCGAGCGTTTGGAGAAGTTGTGCGAGTAGACAGCTTTACGGGCAAAGTAGGATCCCTGTCCGAACATGGTGGCGTGTTTGCCACAGACTCGGGGGTCAAAGTTGTGCTTGCAGATGCCCTCCACCACGTCGGCCGAGGTGCCGTGGAAGAGGTGACGCTCGCTCAGCTGCCGGTCCCTCTCCGACATGCGCCGCGACATGTACTCCTTCTTCCTGTTGGAGCAGAGGAGGCGAAAGGGGATTTGTCAGCGATTCATTCATTTCAGAAAATAACACACAGACTGTATTGATGAGAAAATACGACTTAACACTAGGGGTGGGTACCGGTTCTGACATAAACGGTAGTAACCAGACCGAAAAGCAGCGCACATTTCGGTGCTTTTTTTTCCTGAGCTGTGATACACTTTTAGCCAATCGTTTTACGTTTCCGAGGATAGTAGGCGGGGCCAGGTACGTACGTTCTGTTAGCGCAGAGCTACAGATTAAAAATGTCCAAGGCAAAGCGGTTAAAAGTCTGGCTGTACTTCACAGCAAAATATGCAAACTCAGCAGCAACAAGTGCTTTAAGCTGATACTGTGATACTGTCAAAGGAAGTAACACCTCGAATCTCATGAAACACCTGGCGATGCATAGCGTTTTTTTAAAAGCCGAGAAATGCGCCGTATTTGATGGCAGCAGCAGCAGCCGTTCTTCTCTGCGTGAGTAGCTTAATGTTGTCCTTGTGTGATTTACGTTGAGTAGGCTAACGACGTTATTACATTAATGCATGTAAGGTGAACTAGCAAACACTGTCGTAGTTACATGCGGCTGTTTGATGGCAGATACTCCCTTCACCCTGGCCAAAAAGGCTAAAATGACCAAAGAAGAAGTGGAAAACAGTTAAACATGAGAGGTTTTTGGACAAAGTTTGTGTTTTTTCCATTGTTTAAGCACTGCTTCCAGCCAAGAGTGATGCCATATATGCCCCATAGCTGCAGAAAAGGCTAACATTGTTATCTTTTTACAAAAAACCAGCTGAACATGAGAGGTTTTTGGACCAATGTTGTGTTCTCCATTCTTTAAGCACCGGTTTGAGCACCGTTTAAGCACCGGCACCGTTTCAAAAGTACCGATTTGGCACCAGTATCGGATAAAACCTAAACGATACCCATCCCTACTTAACACTAACTGTGACCACAACCTTGCTTGCACTGAAACTGTGGAAAAACGCAGCCCTGAATCTGGTTCTTGCGCAACGATCGGTACAGCGACGCTGTAACGCGCTGCTCATTTTGAAAGTGTTTCAGGCCAGAAAGGCTGTGACCCTGGCATGACCTCCCATGATCTCTCAGCTTGTTAGTGACGCGCACGCACACGCACGCGCGCGCACACACACACACACACACACACACACACACACACACACACACACACACACACACACTTAATTTCCAAATTTAGAAAAGAGGTGATAAACGCTCTCTTTTCACATGAACATTTCACAAGTCATTTGCGTGCAAATACACACACACGCACAAACAGACAAGCAAACAAGCAGTTATGGGTTTCCTGTCATAACCAGAGTGTGGGAAGAGGAACTCTACCGACATTCAGAGGGGGGGGCAACACTTTCAAATTCAGTGACACGCACGCACAGAAACACACACCTTCAGTCATTTTGAAACCGTGTGGTACCCGTGTGGGAGAGTATAACTGTCACAGCTGATAGGCCTTGCCCTGCACTAATCACAGCGGTTAGCCCTGTGTGTTGAAGACAGGAACATCATCATCACCAAACATCTCTCCATCTGCTGTTTTCACACACCACTGCTGACTCGTTCTCACGAAGTCCCACACAGCTGCTCCCATTTGGCCTATTTTCTTTCTCTCTTTCTTACCTCCCCACTCTTTACATTTTTTTACATTAAACCTTTTTTTGATTATCGTTTCAGTCTTAAACGTTTTAGACTTCAATAACAGATATCTGAATAAAAAGGATTAACACCCAGTCTGCACCGCAACAGCAAAGTCTGTGAAACTACCACCGTACTCTGGTGCAACTTCAGCAACACTATGGGTTCATTATATAAAACACAGATCGTTGCTGTTAACATCAATACTTATTTTATGTCCTCAAGTGAGGTCAAATCTCTCGACTGTCAAAACAAGTTTTGAAACTCGTGCCTTTCTCATGACATCGTAGATGTTGATTATTTCAGCAGAGCTGTGCTCGACAACACAACCACACATGCATCAAATTCGAATGCCACAGCTTTCCCACAAAGCATGAAAAAAAAGAAGCTACATGCAAAAGAAATTAATACATGCAACCCTGCCAGCACACTTACTGACAGAAAAGTTTCCTGGTGTCATGGTTAAAGTTTGTAGGAATTATACATGATCTGCTTCTCCTCTCACCTCTTATACTTCTCCCATAGGAAGGGGTTCTGCACACGTAGGATCTTGATGATCCTGAACTTGGTCTCCGAAACCGTCTTGTGGAACAGGCTGTACACCGTCCTGTAGCTGCGGTCTTCACGGGAAACCGGCACCTGAAGGAAGTCCTGGCTCATGGTCATCGGCAACCACGTTTCAGGAAAAAGGCTGGGTGGGTTGGTGGTAGTTGGCGAGAGGGGATATGACGCAGGAAGGTCCATGGACAAAGAGGAGGAGGATGATGATAATGAGGAGGAGGAAGAGGATGATGAGCAGGATGAGGAAGAGGACGACGAACAGCTGAGAGGAGATAGAGAGAGGCCGCTCAAAGTCCTAAAACGAAAGAAAGAAAATGAAGCGTTAGATTTCTGACAGTAGTGTAAGAAATATCATTAATGGTTACTTATTTCCTATGTTAATAGCATATTTAGGGCATATACTGCACATTATATAGACAAATATATTTATATTCAGGACAAACCAAGCTACTGACAATAGGCTGTTTGATTATCAAACTGAATGGGATAAAAGACATTTTATGAATTTGCAAGTTGCTTGATCAGACAAAACAAACATTTATACACATCAGTTTTGGTTCTGGGAAGTTGTGATGAGGTTTATATGAAAAATATTCAGTGCAGCTCGAATTTCTATACTCAGATCTGCAGGCAAAGGGACGTTTTCGGTTTGTAGCCTGAGTACTACCGACCAATCACATATAAGAAAGCAGCTGTAGCTGTGTGCTAATTCTGTCACCTTGAATAAAGTATGATTCATTTCATTTTACATGCAATATAAAGTCATTAAAAATGTTACTAGGAAGTATTATGTAAGTTACGTCTAATTAGAGGGCAGTGAGATGATCTTACTTGCATGCAATCTTATAAATAACTAGACTACGCAATTTCTGGAGAAACTGTGGTGGGATTGTTGCTATGAGTGGACTCAATCTGTAGCTTGACTTCAGTGCAGCTAAAAAGCCAGAGATAAAGGGGTTGGCTAACAGAGTTGAAGAGAGATGGCTCATAAACACAAGTGTACTGTACCTGAGATAGCAGCTACCTGGTACATAATGGGATTACTCTGAGTGATCATAATAATTTCTGCCATACTGGTTTTGTATTCAAAGTGTAGTCACCCTCACTGTTCAGGGACATTTACCTTGCTGTAGTAAAGCTGTCCCTCCGCAGTACGCAATCATTTTGTGCGTGGGAAAATATTTACAGTTAAAAAAAATAAAATATAAAAATGATTTCTGAAAAGTGTGTTGATGAGGATTACATAATATAGACAAAAAAGTGTCACCCTGAAAAACATCCCACACTGTACTTGAACCCTCGACCTTCAACATACAAGGGACAGAGTGAGAGGTAACTTAGCCCCTAAGCCACTGAGGAATGTGTGACACAGGAGGGGCTCTCACCAACTTCAATTGTTTTGAAGTATGATCTGTTTACAAAAAAAAAAGACAACAAAAAAATATCAATAAACTGCTCATAGTTGAGAATCCGCATTATGAAAAGGCCTCCACACGATGCTCAGAAAGACCGGACAACTGTGACTGGATCAGAAGCGCCGATTACTCTGATCAAGTGTGCTTCACAGAGGGATGATAGCTGCTGCCCTTTATTGAAACCTCATCTCTTTTCATCTGCCTTTATCCATGCCTGCTGAAGGTCAGTGAGAGCAGCTTTGGAGGAATTTACAGCAACCAAACCATCACCTAATGGCACCCCAGCACACTCCCCATCTCTCCACCTTCCTATAGCTGTGCTCCCATATGCCTACAATCAATACCCCCC